ATATATATATATATATATATATATATATATATTGAAAAATAGAAATAGAAATAATAATAAATAAAAGATAAAGAAAAATCCATTGAAAAATAAAATACAAATAATAATAAATAAAACACAAAATAAATAAAATTAATTATATTACATAAATTCTAATTTACTAATTAAATAATAATTTAATTAATAATAATCAAGACCAATTTTTCTAATTCCTAAGAAATTGAGTTGTCAAGTATTGGACACACTAAACAACATGTATGTTAGGTTTTTGGTCGTACTGGACAAGCCCTTACTAATAGAGATAAGCTGAAATCTTGGAGTACTTCCCACATGTCTGGTGTTGAAAATGCGGAACAGGTGGGCAATTCTAAAAAATAAAAACAATAAAAGCCTAGGGGTTGCGGTGTCTTCATCTAATTTTTTTCAAAAGTCTGACCCATACCATAATAAACACCTTAAATCCAATTGTACATAATTTTCTTCCAAAATTTAAGATGATCAATAATTTAGACCAAAGACCATGAATATCAAGTGCGAAATTTTTTTAATTCAAAATTATCTCTAAGACAGATTTTGGAACGGGGTTGATGTGAGTTTGGATACCCTACAAATTCATTTCTATAACCAATGCAAAAGTTTTATTGCATCTATTAATATGCGGCCCCTTCTAAAAATCAACATTGCATATGGATGTTGGATCTGAAATTTCATTGGGTGATAGTCTGACGACCAGGTTCATGAATTCTTAAAATTTAATTGTTTTAAAGGATTGAAATAAACAGTTCAAGAACAAACTTCTAAATTCATCAATCTTTAACATTCAAAATTTATTTTCCTTCCACATTCATAGTCATGGTGGCCGATATAAAATTTTGGATCCGAATTTCAGACCTAAAATATGTTTTTGCAGGAGACCTGCAGTGGACGCACCCAAGCCCTGCCTATGGATAAAACTGATTTGACTCGAGGAAATGCCCTACTTCACTAAACGCTCGGTTTCGAGCAGGAAAATGCCCCTCCTACTTCAATGGGCGAATTTCTGAATAAACACGGTGTATGTGTTAGTTTTTTTGGTTTTTAATATACCTCTGTTGGACTCATTCAGAAACACAAAAAGCACATACGGCCGCAGGGATTTGATAGAAGTTACACACATTTTCCGAATTCAATTGCCTTTTAGTAGTTGATCTTGATTTTCTTGCGGTCCCTTTTTTGTGGGTTTCTGGAAAGAAAAAAATTAGAAAAGGGAATTTTTTTTTTTTACTTTGTATAATTTATTGGAGAAATTGTCTATTACCATGATAAAAATCGAACTCAAGACATCATGTTGTTGGGCTTCACCACCCTGACCACCAGTCTTAAGCCCATTCTTAAAGAAAGTTGAGTCAGAGAGAGTATAAGCCTTTTGTAGGAGGTATTTCAATTCCATTTGTTTTTCTCTTAGAGAGTAATTTTTTCATCTCTCTTACCCCTTTTATATAGTAATAGCTAATGAGATAATCCTAGTCCAAGAGAATGATTTTTCCTATCATAATTAACTTTATCAAAAATAAAGTAATTCATATTTTATAGGATTCTTTTTCTATTTTTTTATTATTAATAAATCCAACAATACCATATACAGTGGCATTGTGATATGACAAGTGGATAGACCGTTTCGAATTTCTGCTCAAATGATTTTGGTTTTTTTTTAAAATATTCAATTTCTCCAAGTCAAATTTTTTGATTGACGAATGGACTGTTTTGGCTATGGCCAGGTTGGGGATAGAGTTTTATTATCTTACCAATTGTTATATATTTTGGGCTTTTTGTTTCGTCAAGGTTGGCATAAATGCCCAACTAGTACAGAGGTTTCAATATATGTTTCCATGTGCAGTTGTAACACGTGGGTCCAATGTGACAATTTATTGGAGGGAAAATTTTACGCGTGGCCCCACTCATATATTAAAATATGTAAACCCTGCAGTTATCTTATGTATATAATAGCTTCAGTCGTAACAATGCTTATCTTTGATTTCAATGTTTTTCAAATAAGTTTTACATGAAATTTAGGGCGTGTCCAATGCACCTAGCAAGAACAAAATAAAGTATTTTTTTATTAAAAAAATCCAAATATATTCCTGCAAGTTATAGGAGTATTTTGGCTATTTTTATAAAAATATAAATTTCATTGTTATTAGGTACAACCGTACGAGAGGTATGCGAGCTCCAACTTCACTGCAATGTTTTCTAAAATAAAAAACAAATAAGATCCGATGAATGATCTAATATACTTATCTGAATCTTCCATAATTATCTCAATCTTCCATTTAAATTAGATGACTGAGATTAGGGGCCACATGCTTTCAATATGTGGGTGGCACCAAGTATAAAATTTTCCCTCTATTGACTATGGTGGTCAATTTTGTCAAGTGCACACAACTATCACGTTTTATGTCTTAGTGTTGTATAAATTGATGTAAGTTTCAAAAGATATCAGTGAGTGTATTGTCTTCTAGATTAGTAAGTTGCTGATATAAATTTTCATATGAAAAATATTAGGTGTTATATCAAACTAGTATATCTTTCGATGTATAATATTTATCTCATATTGAAGAATGAAGCAAGAAAGGTTATATTTAAATATGCATTTATTCTTTTGACAATGAAATGAAGATTATATATATTGGGGTAAGTTTTATATGTTTCCCCTACCACATAAAACTTATATACTTCCTTTTATCCAATTGTCCATTCTGAATGGAAGGCCAAGATTGCCTCAATCACAATGTCACGTCTCTACACTCTATTTTTTTTATTTTTTTCTATAAATTATTTTGATACAAAATTTTGGAGGTCCAATTATCTATTAAACTCGCACTAGCGAAAAAAAATTTAAAAAATATTTTCAATAAAATAAAATGACCAAAATACCCCTGAAACATTCAAGGGGTATTTTGATCATTATATTTTATCAAAAACTTATTTTTAATATTTTTTATAAGTGCGCCCTAATGAGAAGATGGCACGTACCAAATTTCATATTCATAAAATTTGTATAAAAAAAACAAAAATAAAATACTTTGAGACGTCGAATCTAAGATCAAATAGTGAGTGGCTGCCTTGATCAAAATTGGACGGCTGGATGGTAGGGGAAGCATAGATCTTCTATACTGTAGGAGAAGTATAGAAACATTTCCCTATATATTGAATGATCCGACCTGCCGGATTATATATATTGAAAGATTATAAGTATTTAAATATGCATTTATTCTCTTCACTTATATTGCACCCAAGCAGAGAGAGAATACCTGTGTTGTGAGCGCCTATGGTGCACGAGCACTTGAGATTCTTTTATGATTAGGTACTCTAAATGCCCTTCCACTTTAAATCGATGATTTTGTATCAAAGAAAATAGTTTATGGCGATTAACATGGATAATGATGAAAGGCCAAAAAAAATTAAAAGTTTACAATAGTCTATTTTTAAGGTTGATTTTGATATTTTTTTAGGAAAAATATTATGGCTGTTAGAAAATAATATCTATCAAAACCATAGCCTTTTGCAAAACTTATTTTGTAATATTTGTAGAGAGAACAAATGAGTTTTAGTTTCACATTGGTAGATGAGAAAGCGAAAATCAAGTGTATTTAAAATTTACCTTTTTTGTTATCGGTCATGAAACAAGAGAAGGCCTTTGTGGAGCAAGCAACTTATGAACGTGTGTGGCTGCAATGGCATTTGAGGTGCACTTTTGCAACTTTACTATCACATGTTTGGTTGTGCGAAGGAAGTGCAAAGTGCCAACAGCATTGTTCTGACAAATGAAGATTGTCCAGGTGTTGTTTAGCTATGTGGATATCACGATTAATTATTGATTTAAATTAATTAATGATTTTAAGTGCAATAGTCTAACTTGGAACACAAGAAGTCCGGTTTGTTAAACAAATTTTACTGTAATTAACAGTTTTAAGTACGAATGTTCAACTTTGAAACGAAAAAGGTTGCAGTCGTTCTCCGAACTATTTGTTATAAAGTGAACAGGTTCTTTCACTTTCAATTACTATGGCTGAGGCCATATAACTTGCTCTTGCTTTTTATATATGGTGAAGTATATAACGAGACTACTTACTTTTTGCACGAGGCGGTCATAATTAATCTTAACCCTAGATGTAAAATTGATTTGTTGCATTTATTCTATAGAACAAACTCAATGTTAAAAAATAATAATAATAATAATAATAATAATAATAATAATAATAATAACAATAATAACAATAATAATAATAATATGTATGCTTTAAAACAAAAAAGATACCTTGTTCACAAAGTATTTCTTAGACTCTTAAACTTGCTACCCCGTCAATTTCTAAAATTTAACATTGAAATCCATATTCTTTGAATGGATGGTTGAGGTGGTAAAAATAACAAGTTTTAAATTCGAAACCCATCACTGAATGACATTTTTAGGTAGATCTGAGGTGGCAACAGATCGGGTCAACCGAGACCCACCTGAGTCGGGTCCAAGTAATTTGGAACTAGACATTGGGTTCAAAACCTAGATCCGAACCCAAACCTGGTCCGAGTTGACCTGACCCAATTGCCACCCAAGATCAAGAAACGCACAGTGATTTGAGAGGAACAGGGGTTCAACTACAATTTGGTAATCTCATAAAAGAGTCAAGGACACGGTTTTGGTGAGTCTGTCGATTCATCTATTACCGTGCGGTCCCTTGTCTATCAAACGGCCATCTTAAGATGGATGTTAAAAAATGTTACATCCACTAAAAATTAAATGGACAATAGAAAAGGAAATTCAAAAAATCAGGATTGAGACCATTCATCTTTTGTATAAAGAGGTCACAATTACTTACAACAATCCGATGTGAAATTTCATAGCTTGGGTGTGTCACAAAATTTGAGAAAAATTCGTTTGAACATTGAATTGGGTCAATGAAATAAATGCAGTCACCCAATTTCACATCTAATGGTCAAGATTAATTGTACCCATATTGTACCAAAGGTAACTGGTCTCATTATACATTTTTTCAAAAAAATAATATTATATTTTTTAAAAAGAATTCTAAAAATTATTATCATGTTTAGATTATCGACCACTGAAATTTAAATGGAAAAATATATCTTTGTAATTAATTTGAGAGGGAGACAACACAAGAATAAGTTGGGGTGGCATCTTGAGGGATATGAGTTTTGGAGGGAATTTCCTTGGAGAGCTAAAAGTTGGGGCTCACATCTCGAGGGAAGAAGATTGAAAGAGGACCGCAACATGTTAATCGGCGTCGTCTTAGGAATCTGCTCGCACGAGGCCGCGACGACGATGACATGGTGGGGCCCACGCATGTCTCCATCTTTCTCTATACATTCTCATTTTCGTCCTTTTAATGACCTCAATACCCTTGATCCCGCATTTTCATAAATTGCGAATCCATGCAGCCATGGGTCTAAAGTACATGTTCTAAGCGTCGCTTTTGAAAATTGGTGGGTTGAAAAGGCTTGGAACCGATGGTTTAAAAAGCGGATCGGTGATCCGGATAGGGTACCTCAAAAATCGATTCGGATCGGAGATTCGTATCGAGAATCGACTGAATCGATTAGATTAAAGCTTCAAAAAAATTCGAAAAAATTATTAAAATTCATTCTAAATATTTTTTTTAAGAATTCAATAAAAAATGAGGGTACTCCATTAAGAATTTTCATTTCTTTGCATGAATATGCGAATATTGATATATTCTTTCCCTGCATGAATTACTATTTATCAATTAATTTACATCACACAAAAGGATAAACATAGAATTATCATGGAATAAGTATATCAACATACATGGACTACAATAAAGCATACAATTAGTAACATACGATCTAAAAATAAAACTACAGACGACGTCGTTCTTCTTCTTGGTCACGCTGATGCCATTGATTGAATTCGTTTGACAATTCATTGATTCGATCTAAAAACAAATCATCGATATTAGCAGGCGTCTGACTATACCCAAATCCCAGAGTGTTAGTATTCTGTTGTGTTCCCAATCCAAAATCCCCAAAGCTTGTCCATCCTTCATGCTCACCTACACTGTCGTGCTCATCCCTACACTGTTGCTGTTGGGACTCGATATGTGAATAATATGGCTAGGATAGGGTGGCCTCAGAATCATCATCTCTCTCATATTCCCTTAGACCCCCATCACAC